GTAAGACTCACACCAACACACACACACTTTCCTCTAACCCCCCACCCCCAACCTTACCCCTCCCCACAGACCCACACACACACACACGCACGCACACACACGCGCACACACTCTCAAGTTGGGTGTTACGTACTGGTGAACGAGTTTGCTACTATTTGCAGTTTGCACGCATGTGTAGTGATGTGGTGGGTGGTGTCAAAGTCAGTGCACGTGAGAGTCAGGAAACAGCAGGTGTAATGTGTGTTTTCTGGAAAACATTTAGCGAGTTTTTGCACACATTCAGATATTTAGAGCTGAAATGTGTTTAAGATGTTTCAGTTCTCTCTCTGACTTGTTCCGTCAGGCCTTGTCAATCCATGTGTCACATTTATTACTCAAAGGAAAGCAGTTGAATTATTGAATTACTTTTTTTTTATTTTGAATTACATTTTCACTAATTTGCACTGAACATTTAATTACCTAAGATTTCAATCTGGGTGAATGTTTTTAAGCTCAACTTTAAATATAGCAACTTTATTTGTTTTTATTGAGTTTATCCACTAAAATATGACTTTTAAAAAAGTAGAAAAAGTTGAGGTCTTTTTGGATTTGTCACAGTGTTGTCAGCAGACTTACATGAAATCCATCCGGTTGTTTTGGTGCTGATATTGTGACAAAGTGCTTCATCACTGGAGGGATTTTCTACTTTTAGCTCATGTAAATAGCAATTGTGGAAGAAAAAAAAAGACAATCCCTAAAGAGTTCTTTCTTTCCTCGTGGAGAGAAGAATAGTCCTCCTTGTGGGACAATTCAACTTTCTCCCTTTTTGCTTAAATAAACACACTGAACGTAAACAGAGGTTTCCATGTGGCCCTGCCGGCGTCTGCGTCTCGGGCAGCCGAGCACCTCTCGGCTCGGGCCTGAGATTTCTCGTGGAGGCAGAAGTTGGCCCGGCTCTCCAACTCCCCGCCTTCGCTGTTTATTTGTTTTGAGAACAAATGGGAGCAGCAGAGTGACAATTGAATTTGGCTTGCATCACCGTGGCGATCTGGCAACCGCTCCCGCGTCCCATAGGATCGCTCCAGTTGCCGTGTGCCGGGCGCGTGTTTATTATTTAACTGATGTGCTCTATACGCTGCTGCTCTGTGCACACACTGTGTGTGCGCGCGTGTGTTTCTGTCTTTGAGTAGTGGGTGGTGGTAGCAGCATTCACGAGAGAGACATTTTACTAAGCAGACATTTCCCCCTCTGTTTTCACTCTGACCTGGTAGGAGATTGATGACTGAATTGTGGAGTACATGTTAACAGTAACCGCTGATTTATGAAGATACTTAGGGTAAGTGAGGCCGCACAGGCTTGAGGGGAAGAAAAAGATATAGCCTTTTAAGTTAATGTAAAAATATTGCCTTTTTAAGTAATAATTGTTATTACTACTGCAGGGGTTTGGAGAGGGGTCTGTGTGAAACTTGGACGTGCACAATGTGCAGCGTTAAGCTTTTCCTCTTCCTCTGGTCATGAGCCTTCCTTTGTTTCTAGCCTCCCAAATCTGTTTAACATGCGATGTGTTCTCTTTTTTTTTTTCTTCTTCCCAAAGAATTACACAACTGGATAAATGGATATCACATTAATTTAGTTAGAAAGATAATAAGGAATATTTGGATTGAAAGTGACTTCTCTTCCCTGAGTAAAACCACAATGGAAAACTCCTGGATGAACTCTTCCTCTGCAACAAGTGCAGTATGTATTTTGGCAGCCTCTGCTTAGCCAAGGATCCCTCGGTGAATCTGCATGCAATTTTAGAGGAATCAGAGTCTTTTCCTCTTCTTGAGTTGTGAACACATGCTTTAGTGCGTGCTCACTCGAGATCTTTCTCATACCCAAAGATGCAGGTTCGGTATCTAGATGCGTTTAGGCATTAAGAGTTTTAGAATATTGAGGTTTTCATCACATTAATCCTGCAGTTTAGAGCCTTTTTAAAGAGATGGCGCTGCCCCTCCCCTGACTGTTTCTGTGCACTGTCAGTCAGCTGGTTGAAAGAACACTTTTAACTCCCTGACAACAAAGGTAACTTTTCTGTTTGGAAACACGTCCAGGCTTATTAAGGCTTAAGGCTCCACCCAGACAAACACTCTGACTCATATCAGCTTGTTTGTGTTGCCATATAAAGAGTAGATTGCTACAAGATGTTTAATTAAGTTTGGTATCTCAAAATCTGAAAATGTTATAGAAAACATTTGTATAACTGTAAATAATTTTAACAGAGATGAGAATGGTTGTTGCTTTTCTGCTTAAAATATTATAAAAAAATAACCACATTATACTTTCTTTTTTTTATCTAACTACCATAAAATGATGGTATTTCCCTCCAAAGCTTTCATAATGTGGGAATCTCGTGCCTGGATGTGCTCTGCAACATTTTTATAAGAAATAAAGCAATTTAAGGGAATACTAAACAGCGCTTCCTCAGGAAGAGGGATGGCTTTCATTTTTTTCCAAGGCACCTCTTAGACCGAGTGAAATGTTTCCCCCGTTCGCTCAGGGACGACTTTATTTCTTACCAGGGATTTAACACTCACTCAGTCCCCTCATAAATACAGCGTCCCTCAGCCCTTCACTAGCCATAACTCATGCACTAACTCTGGAGCTAACTAAACCCATATAGCAGAGCCAACACTTGTTTGTCTTTTCTTCTTTTTTTTTTTAACCTCAGCTTTTTCTTCCTCACTTCTTCCTCTCTGTCTCCTCTTTCTCCTCTCAGCTGATTTATGCGCGTGACAGGATCCCCTCTGACTGGCCGTTCCTCTGCAGGCTCCTGCGCGGGCCTCTTGTCGGCCCCCGGCTCGTGGAGTGGGGTTTTTAGTGCGAGAAATGTGCATTTGAATATGAGCCAGCCTAATCTCCTCCGGGCTATTTAGACTGAGCCTAACGCTCCAAGAATGAGCGAGAACAACAGGGGAGAAAATGCGAGCATCCCTCTCTGCGTGTCACAACACAGCTCGGGTCTTCCCAAAAGAAAGTAGCAGGTCTTTGATTTGCTGATGAGGATCTCTGTGTGACTCAAAGAGCGCGCTGCCGCTCCTTTCAAGGCACCTGTTGAAGTGTTTGTGTTAAGTTCTCTCTTTTACTTTTAGCATCAGAGCAGCTGGTAAACTTTTAAGCTGTTTAACTTTCAACAGATGAAAGTGATCAGGTGAGATTTTACAGATTGGCTGAAGCCTTCAGTGATCTGGTGCAGACTGGCATTTTGGGAGGAGACGGCTTTTCTGGCGTGGTTCCCGCACTGGTTGTTAACAGCCTGCTGGTACCTTCTGTTCTCCGTGCTCGGTCCCCCACGGCCCGACTCTGACAACTCCTCAAGCATCAGAAGACCCTCTGAAGTCAAAATCGCCCATTTTGATGTCTCAGGGCAGCGCTCTGCGTTTTGTTGTCTTTGCGTCTGAAAACACAGGCCCTGCTTGGAGGAATTACCCTCAGCACTCCCGTTGGTATCAGACACTGGGGAGGGAGGAGGGTATCGTTCCTGTTCTAACCCCCCACCCCACCACCCCAACACTCCTTTCCCTCCGATCTCCTTGTTCCCCCTCACTGTCCTTCCCTCTCTTTTTGATCTCGCCATCAAATCTTCCCCGGTTTTTCTGAGTGACGTTTGCCCGAGAGCAGCTTGGGAACAAGCAGGCTGAAGAAGACGTTTGAGAAAATGCGCCCGAGCAAGCCATCACCTTTGATAAAGCCATATTTCCAGCGGGAGAGGAAGAAGAAAGCTAAAGAGTGCATGCATTGTTGATAATGAAAAATGCCATGAAAGAGGGAACATCCCTCTGATCCCAGCCTGTTACATTGACAATGTGTAGTATAACAGATATTGCTGTAGTAGATCAAGCTTTTCTCTGAGTTAGATGTTGGCCAGTTGCTGGTACCGAAGTTTTTAAAAAGTTGTGGTTTCAAAACCAGTAAAGTTTTCCATTGCTAACTTAATAAGGTAACGTACCGGTGCCTCCCCCTCCCCCACCTATTACTCTCCGCTGACAGTAACTGGCTGAAAAAAGGTCGAGAGATTTTTATCTCACTTACGGAAAAAGAAAAAAATCCCAGAGAATTATGGCAAAGACACTGAAGGAGTACCGGCCATTACTTTTGATAGTAATAGCTACTTGAGCAAATAGCTCGACTAATTAACAAAGTAAAATGAGCTTGTTAAACTTCCACAATTACTTTACAAAAAGCAGAACTGAAAAAAAAACGAATGCCATTCTGCATAAAAGGAATGTGGACATTACACCTAAGCTAAGATTTTTACTTTAGTGTATGTATCAAAATCCAAATGATGAGGGCTAAATGTTTTTCTACTGTAACTGTTACATTAATACAAAATACTCTGACAACATTGTAATTTAAACTGTGAGAATCTCACTCTTGGATGTGTTTGACTGAGCTGAATGTTGGAACCCACGTTGTGGCTTTATTTGAGCATCCGTTTGGCACCGAAAATATTCTCGCAGCTCTGGGAATCACACCAGGGCCTCGATCCACACTTCATTGTTTGTGTGTGTGGAGATCTGAGTATTGGCAAAAAAAACTGGCAAGGCACTGCATAAAACGAATGAAAAGACAGAGAAGTGGAGGGAAACTGGAGACACGCAGAGAAAAGAAATGTTAGCTTTAGTAATTACTACCTCCACAGAGAAGCAGTGGAGAGGACAGTGAAGCAGGCGAGTGCATGAAGGAGGGCCCGTGTGCAGATAATGAAGGGGTATCATTGTAGCTCTGACAGTGTTAATCTCAGAGTGCCCCACAGTGTGTGTCTGTGTGTGCCTCCGGTGAGTGCAAGTGCTGCCGAGATGTATGGAGGTTGTTGTACATTGTCGTCGACTCATTTTGTGAAAGCGAAACCATCCACCTGACAGTTTATCCAACTCTGCCTACTGGCGCTGACTCACACAGCTTCTTGAACGCAGCACCGAAGGCTTTGTTAACCATCCGGACTTGTTTTATGTGGATGAAATGAAGCGAGGCAGTTTTTA